TTTCCCTCATCTCTCCTCTCGCCCAGATCCCTCCCGGAACCAGCGGGTGTCCTCGGGGCTGAGTCTCCCCAGTCTGCCTTCTCAGTTTGGGAACACGCATACACGGGATGTGTCTGTTGCTCTCGGTGGACAGCTTTGCAAGCCTGGCCCCATGCACAGTTCTAACAACTGGGAGTGGGCAGCAGCTCCTGCTTTTCCATCTCGTGTTCATTTTACACCCACGATCCAGCACCCAAGTTTCTTGGTGGAAGGGAAGCCGTAGACCTACTGCCAGTGGGCACGGTTCTGATCAATGCCTGGCAGCGGGAAGGGTTAGCTCACAGACTTTGGAGTCGCCTGGGCCCCATCTCTCTGCCCATAGCCAGCCCAGGGCTCGGTGCCCTCTGTCCTTGCTCATTCAATCTTCACAAGAGCCCCGAGGGGCAGGCAGGGAGAGTCCCTTCTTACCGAGGAAGAGGCTCTGCACTCACCGACTGTATGTCCACCGGCTCTTCTCACTCCGAGTTTTAACACCGCCTCTCCACAAACTGACAGTTCACCAAACTACTCCGCACTCTCCAACTCCGCACAAACCCTCTCCAACCGACTCCACCAACTCCTCACCTACCGACTCCTAACCCTCCTACTCCACGCCTACCCACTCCACAACCACCTAACATTCCGCTGTCTCCATGCCCACCATGCCAAACGGCTCTAGGCCCCGCATTCTAAACGGCTCTGCCAGCGGCTCACGCCCCGTGCTAACTGCGTTGGAATACACAAAAATTATGCCAAGCTCCCTATAAAACTTTAGATCTAGCTGGGCACATAAAACATAAAGAAACATAAAGGTTAATTTATACACCCTCTATCATTGCAAATGCAAACTAACCACTTCATTCTAATATGTCTACCCACGTTTTGAAAAATTACTTTTTTCCCATCAGCCAAATTACATAGATTTGACCCATTCCTTTAAGGGAACAACTCATTCACTTTATTTTGTCAAGTCTTACCTAGAGTGCTGAGCTCGGGAATTCTTCTCCCCATCCACTGGGAAGAGTTCAGACATAGAATCCTGAAGTCCACCAGTCAACTGCCTAAAAAACAATTTGACAGACCACTAACCAATATGTATTTCATATAAAAAATGAACAAAGTAATGCTGTATATTTGGAAAATGCTTTATTTATTTAAAAATATATCTTTAGCCAAAACCGCTTTGGCTCAGTGGATAGAGTGTCGGCCTGCGGACTGAAAGGTCCCAGGTTCGATTCCGGTCAAGGGCATGTACTGTGGGAAGCCATGTTCCGTGGGGCCCAAAGGCAAGGATGGAGCATAGGGTAGGGACGCCTACCTGCTCTCCTACAGGGGATTGAGCGCAGGGTAGGGATGCCTACCTGCTCTCCCCTAAGCCTTCGGGTCAACCAAGGACAGGGCAGACCACAGCCCCATTGTTAGAGAGTGCGCGTGATGCACGACTTATCTGGATGTTCTCAGCTAGGCTGTTCTCAATGATATCTAACCAGACGCTTGCTCTGTGTATCTTTTCCAAGAATGTCTTGAGGGGCTGACGGGCGGCCTTGTCCTGGGAAAGGGGCACTTGGAGAAATGCCCAGAAAAGCCTCATAAATGTACGCTTGCAACTAATAAAGTTACTGCAGTCTCATCATGGACTAGCAGTCCTCCTGAAGTCCCGCTTTCTCTTGTCTTTATTTCTCTTAAAACCTCCTAGCCCTACCTCCAGGACCTGTGATGCTGGACCTGTGATGTCGGCTGGATCCGGTAACTGGCGCCCGTGAACAGGGACCTGGAGACACTGGGTAGACGTAGGAAGGTCGCCGTTGGTAAAGGTCGCGACGAAACAGTGAGTAACGGCGGATTGAATTTTTTTTACATTCAGGAGTAATAAAATGGGGCAAGTACAGAGCAGGGATCTTTTTATACAGGTCCTACATAGTATGCTTGTGTCTCGCGGAGCGCGAGTGGAGAAGTCTCAGCTAGTAAAATTTATACAGTTTGTACATACAGTTTGTCCGTGGTTCCCTGAGGATGGGACAATTAGTGTTGATGTATGGCTGAAAATTGGGCAGAAAATTAAGGAATTTTTTAGTGTTCATGGGACAAAGTAAAAGTGCTCTTTAGAGTGAATGTTGAAGTCTATGTGATCACAAAATAATGTTGTTTATTGTTGAAATTAGAATCTTAGTATATGTATGGAATTTAAAATCTGTAATAAGTGGAACTCCACTGCTGAAACTGCCTCTGATGTGGATAAATTCAAAGGCAGCTGGGGGGGGGGGGGGGCTATCTGCTCTCCCACATTAAGATTACTTGCAATGAGACTACTTAATGCCTTGTTTAAAAATTATAAGAGAACTGACAGGGAAATGCAAATCTTGGCCAAATTGGGTATTAGTTATTATTTCAGAAAGCCAAAAAAGAAGAAAAAAAAAATTGAGATCTATCTTTTAAGCATGAAAAGAAATTCAGCCAGATCTGTTGCTGATGCTTCCCCTGAAGTAAGCATGATGTGGGGGAAGGGAGAGACAAGAGGCGATCCAATGTAGAAGCCCGCTCTCCTAGTATATTAAATTAAAAATTTCCTTTCTCGCCATAAAAAAGTTTTTAAAATTTAGAAATGCGTCTGGGATATCTGTACACGTGTAAAGAGAAAGCTAGTATAAGACTAAATGCGCGCACGACCGATTTCGGATATTAGATAGGTCTTGAACTAGCCTTAACTCTTTACAAGAGCTACAGAAATGAAAAACCCAGAACTGATTCTTTTTCCTGAGAAAAACAGTGAAAAAATCTTCTTGAAAGAAATTCAAGCTAATTCCAGCAACAAGATTTGCATTTCCATAATAAAGAGTAGTTTTCAAAATGCTAGTGAACCTTATTGAAAAGTTAACTTTTAAGGCCTTCAAGAAAATAATTTGTCTCTGTCATAGAATTTATCCAAAGTAAATACTTTATTAATTATAAAGACCTAAGTAGTCTAAATAACTGGCTACATCCTTTGTTGAGGGAAGAAAGGGTAGAGGCCCTTCCCCCAGCAGACAGTTAATATAGTGTCCTGCCAGTAGCCATCTTAAAGAATGTAATAATTTACAGTCAAATAAACAAAACCTAATTTCCCAGAGCCACTGGCAAATAAAAAAGTTTAAATTTACCTCACAAAAAACCTAGAGAACAGAATTGAATCTATTAATTGATTATGTCTTGTATTTTCCTTAGAAATATAAAATGTTATTAATCTAAGAACTACTAAATATATTTAAATTGTCAGCTGTAAAAATTCAGAGTACAAATTAAATTCGGAGAAATTATAAAGTTGTAGTAATTAAATACTTAAAGCATAAAAACTTATTTTTAAGAAAATAAAATGTTATATTTCCTCTAATAATTAGGAATTCAAAATAAGTTACTTATTATTGATCTAATTAAAAAGAGGATTAATTCTATGATCTCAGCAAAAAATTTTCTCTACGAAAACTAGTCTAAATCTAATTGATATCTTAAGATAATAATAGATAATAATAACAGGTATTATAATATTTAAATCATATATAGATATTTGTTTGATGGTTTTTTCCATGTTAAAATTTCAAGGCATTAACAGAGATGATTCTTGGAAAGCTCCAAGGGCCCGGAGTAATACAAGAAATTTATTCTCTCTTTTTATAGGAAAACTTTTTTAAACAGATCTAATATACTTGAAATTGCATGGAAAGCCTTATCAAATAAAAATTAAAAGGTATATATTAAATATTATAAAAGTTTTTGCCTGTGAGAAAAGCAAAAACAATATAGTTCTTAAATATAGCCAAATTTTTCAACAGCAGTAGAATTTCAAGAAAGACAAAAGCCATGCTTTTGGATCAGACCAATAAAGTATCAAACCTATAAGTTTTACTGAATAAGTTTCTTTGCCATTATTTTTTTAAATTAAAAATACCTACTTAAGTTACTTTATAAATTAGCTTTTACAATATAATCAATATCATATAAATTAAGTTACATGAGAAGCCAATGTTTTATAAATAATTGAATCCTAACTGTATATGGCCGCCTACATTTTAATTAAGCTAAAGGCAAGGCAACATTTATAGCTTATGAATTCAAAAGTAAATTTGCTTTATTTTTCAAGTAAAGATACCTTACCATGATAGCAGTCAGCACCTGTACATTACTACAAGAGGCCCAAGAGAAAGGTCGGTGTACACACCCTCCTACATAGAAGTCAAAATACTTAATATTCTACCGGGAACCCTGGCTTAGGGACTTAATTTATTTCTAACACAAGGAATAGTATTAACTACCACATTAAAAGAAATTTTTTATCTCAAGTATTAACCATTTTTACTGGGTAGGAGTGGATATACCATGAAAGGGCTATCTGTTGCCCCCAGGATTATTGATTCAGATTTTAAAGGAGAATAAAGGTGATGACGAAAACTACCCAAGCCATTTTTTTACATTCCTTTAGGGACTTGAATTGCCCAATTGTTATTACTGCCATATGTTCAGGGAGAGAATAAAGTTCAGAACCAACGGGGAAGAGGTACCAGTGGGTTTGGATCTTCTGATGCTTATTGGATAAGGGAAGTAACAAAGGAGAGGCCAGAGCTAGAATTATGGATAGATGGGAAAAGATTCACTGGACTCCTAGATACTGGCGCAGATGTTTCAGTAATCTCTGCTGATCATTGGCCTGCCGCATGGCCATTACAAGATACCAGTACATTCCTGCAAGGCATAGGGCAGAGTCAATCGCCCCAGCAAAGTAGCAGAATACTGACTTGGAAGGACAAAGAGGGGGTGTCGGGTACTTTCCAGCCTTATGTTGTGCCGTTTCTGCCCATTAACCTGTGGGGACGTGACATTATGGAGAAAATGGGTGTGTATCTTTGGAGTCCAAATGCTACTGTGACAAATCAGCTGATGAATCAAGGGCTGCTTCCTAATCAAGGCCTTGGTAAAGAAGGGCAAGGTATAACTCAACCTGTCCTCCCTAAATGGAAGCCGGACAGAGCAGGCCTGGGACATTTCTAGCAGAGGCCATTGATTCTTCTGCTATTCATGCTGATAAGATTCAATGGAAGTCTGATGACCCAGTATGGGTAGACCAATGGCCTCTGACTCAGGAGAAACTACAGGCAGCACAGCAACTGGTGCAGGAGCAGTTACAATCTGGGCATATTGAGCCCTCCAATTCTCCCTGGAACACACCTATATTTGTCATTAAGAAGAAGTCAGGGAAATGGAGACTATTACAGGACCTAAGAAAAGTTAATGAAACCATGTTTATGATGGGGGCGCTACAGCCCGGATTGCCATCACCTATGGCCATACCAGCTTAAACTTTTAAAATAATTGTGGATTTAAAAGACTGTTTTTATACTATCCCTCTGCATCCAAAGGATTGCCAGAGATTTGCTTTTAGTGTACCATCTGTTAATTTGAAAGAGCCAATGACTAGATATCATTGGAAGGTGTTGCCTCAGGGCATGGCCAATAGTCCAACTTTATGCCAGAAGTTTGTCCAAATAGCTATAGTAAAGACTAGGCAGAACCATCCAGAGGTATATATCATCCATTATATGGACGATATCTTACTAGCTCATGAACAGCATGAAGAGTTGACAGCGGCCTATGGGCATATGCAGGAAGGATTAAGGCAGTATGGTCTGCAAGTGGCTAATGAAAAGGTGCAATTACAGCATCCATATGGATACTTGGGCTATACATTATACCCTAGACATTTCGCGCCGCAGCGAATCAGAATTAGAATGGCAGACTGTAGGACTCTGAATGATTTTCAAAAGTTGTTAGGAGACATAAATTGGATTCGTCCTACCTTAGGACTCACAACAGGAGAGCTAAAGCCACTATTTGACATACTCAAAGGTGATTCTGATCCCACTTCGCCAAGGCAGCTCACTAAGGAGGCAAGGCAGAGCTTACAAAAGGTTGAACAGGCCATTACTAACTCCCAGCTAACTTACTGTTCATACAGTGAACCTTGGCAGCTTTTAATTTTGGCAACTGCCCTTACTCCAACAGGTGTCCTATATCAGCACGGGGTGCTTCAGTGGTTACATGGAGCCGCCACCCCTTCTAAAGTTTTGGCACCGTATTATGAGCTTGTGGCCGAAAGGATACAGCAGGGAAGGAAATGTAGCATCTTACACCTTGGACAAGAACCAGCTGCTATTGCTATTCCTTATACAGCCAAACAACTTGACTGGTTGCTAAACATGACTAATTCTTTTCCTCTAGCCTTGGCTCATTACGCGGGAAAAATATTGCACCATTACCCTCCTGATAAAATTATTCACTTTGCTTCTAGATCAACGTTCATCTTTCCTTCAATTGTAAAAGCTCAACCCATTCTCCAGGCATTGTTAGTTTTCACTGATGGGTCATCAAATGGCACTGCGGCAGTCACTACCTTTGATTGCCAGCGCTCTTGGAATACTACTTATACCTCAGCTCAGCAGGTAGAATTGTTCGCCATCAAGCAGGCTTTGACACTATATCCTCAACCTATCAATATCTACTCAGACAACCAGTATGCTATGTTAGCTCTAAACCTGATAGAGACAGTATCCCATATTGCCATTGCCAATGAGACAATACAGCAATTGTTTCAGGAGATTCAAGAAGTTTTACGCTCTCGCAAGCAAGCTTGCTTTATAGGGCATATTCGGGGTCACTCTCAGCTAGCAGGACCTTTAGCGGAAGGTAATGAGCTTGCGGATGGTCAAACGCAGGGCTGTTTCTCAGCCATCACTGATCCAGTCCAGGCAGCAAAAGACTCTCATGCGTTGCATCATCAGTCAGCGCAAGGGCTTTGACGGCAATTTAAGATCTCACGCGAGGCCGCCAGGCAAATTATCCGTGACTGTCCTCAGTGTCCACAGTTGTTACCTGTACCTCATTTTGGAGTGAACCCCCGCGGTTTAAAGCCCAATCAGTTATGGCAGATGGATGTTACGCATGTTCCCTCCTTTGGGAAGCAGAAATATGTTCATGTAACTTTAGATACCTTCTCTCACTTTATCCTAGCATCACCTCAGACAGGTGAGGGAGTCAAGCATTGTATAGATCATTTATTATATTGTTTTTCCATTTTGGGTATTCCACAGCAGATTAAGACTGACAATGCACCTGCCTACTACAGTAAAAAAAATTTCAGCAGTTCTGTGCAACTTTTAGAATCTCCCTTAAACATGGCATTCCTTACAACCCACAGGGACAAGGCATTGTGGAGCGAGCTCATCAAGAACTCAAAAATCAGCTTTTTAAAATTAAAAAGGGGGAGTATTATACCCACACCCCCAGGAATTTACTTAATCATATAATCTTTATTTTAAACTTTTTGCAAATGGACAAAGACGGCCAGACAGTGGCTCAGCGGTTTTGGGAGCCCACACCAAAACGCTTTACTGGAGAGATCCACTGACTAGGGAATTGCATGGGCTGAATTCAGTACTAATGTGGGGGAGAGGCTATGTTTGTGTTTTCCCAGCTGGAGACGAGAATCCTCGGTGGCTACCTAAGCAGTGTGTGCGCCATGCCTCGAAGACAGGTGGCAAAGCTGAGGGATCGACTGGACCGCCTGCGGCTGGGGCCATCTAGAAATGAAATGGGATTGATGTGGAGGACCTGCCACAGTAATGTGACAGTGTGCCAGGGAAAGCTGTGCGACTGGGCCGACACTGATTATGACTTTCGCCCCCAGAACCTAGTGACTGGACTTTGGACAATGGACAATATTACTTACCAAAGAGATTTGTGGAAAATGGTGGCCGCTATGGACTATATCACTGTCGGGAAGGAGAATGTGACAGTGCAGCCACAAAGGGGAGTCATTAGTGGCTCGGGGAGCAGCTGGAATGTGAGCATGTCTGCATGTGTACCTGAACCTTATGCCTTGTTACTGAGTAATTTTAGTATTAGCCTAGATAATGAAACTGGAATAACTAGCATCGCCTGTAATAATTGTAGTCTAACTAATTGCATTAATGGCACTACCCCTTCCTTGTTATCTTATATCAACCTGTATTTGTTCTCCTGCCAGTTAACACCACCCAAGAGTGGTACACGGGGCTTGCTGTGCTTCAAACAGTAGAAAAGGCATTAAGCCGAACGAAAAGATTTGTAGGATTGTTAATAGCGGGTATCACTGCCTTGATTACTTTGATTGCTTCTGCCACTGCATCTGCCATATCGTTAACAACTTCCATTCAGACAGCAGACTATGTAAACAACCTGGCTTACAATGTAACATAAGCACTACAAACCCAAGAGAACTGGGACAAGAAAATAGAGCAAAGGGTGAACGCTCTCTATGATGTTGTACAAATCCTAGGCGATGAGATTGTAAGGTTGGAGGTGAAAAGCTCTCTAAGATGCCACGCCGCATTCTCATGGATTTGCATAACACCAAAAGAATATAATGACTCTAGGTTTCCATGGGAAAATGTCAAAGACATCTTCAAGGTATATGGCATGATGCAAACACCTCCCTTGATTTGAGAATGTTGCATGGAGAAATCCAAAATTTGCCGAACGCACCAAAGCTTGATATAGATATAGCCCGAGAAGCCTCGGAGTTTGTATCCCGGCTACGGGACAACTTCCCAACTATAAGTGCTTTCTTTCATGGAGTAATAGGCCTAATTGCAGTAGCAAGTTTCCTGGTACTTTTATGCATGTTGTTGCCTTTCTGTATAAGATTAATCTGTAAGCAAATGTACAAGTTAGCCATGGACATCCACCTGCTTCAGCTGCATCGAGAGAAGGACAGCATCCCGCTTGAGTTGTAATAAATTAAAAAGGGGGAGCTGTGGGAAGCCATGTTCCGTGGGGCCCAAAGGCAAGGATGGAGCATAGGGTAGGGACGCCTACCTGCTCTCCTACAGGGGATTGAGCGCAGGGTAGGGATGCCTACCTGCTCTCCCCTAAGCCTTCGGGTCAACCAAGGACAGGGCAGACCACAGCCCCATTGTTAGAGAGTGCGCGTGATGCACGACTTATCTGGATGTTCTCAGCTAGGCTGTTCTCAATGATATCTAACCAGACGCTTGCTCTGTGTATCTTTTCCAAGAATGTCTTGAGGGGCTGACGGGCGGCCTTGTCCTGGGAAAGGGGCACTTGGAGAAATGCCCAGAAAAGCCTCATAAATGTACGCTTGCAACTAATAAAGTTACTGCAGTCTCATCATGGACTAGCAGTCCTCCTGAAGTCCCGCTTTCTCTTGTCTTTATTTCTCTTAAAACCTCCTAGCCCTACCTCCAGGACCTGTGATGCTGGACCTGTGATGTCGGCTGGATCCGGTAATGTACCTTGGTTGCGGGCACATCCCCAATAGGTGTGCAAGAGGCAGCTGATCAATGATTCCCTCTAATCGATGTTTCTAACTCTCTATCCCTCTCTCTTCCTCTCTATAAAAAATCAATTATATATATATTATATATATAATATATTTTTAATATATTTTTATATATTTTTATATATATTATATATATATTAAATAAATAAAATATAAATAAAAGTTTTATTGAGTTCAGAGGAGAAAGGAGAGGGGGAGAGAGAGAGAAACATCAATGAAGAGAGAAGCATTGATCTACTGCTTCCTGCAAGCCCCATAATGGGGATCCAGCCCCCAACCCGGGCATCTGCCCTGACTGTGTATGGATCCGTGATCTCTTGGTTCATAGTTTGATGCTCAATCACTGAGCCATGATGGCCAGACTGGAAAATATTTTAACAATAGGATTTTGTATATAACTTTCTGTGGAAGGAGTACTGAATTAGCCCATGCAAGAAAGACATTTAGAGAACAAATATGTAGGTATACTCAGAACAGAATTTAAACATTTAGGCTGCCAATCAATGAGCTAAAAGTGTTTTAGTTATTTCTAAACTAGTAATGGTTTTACTTGGGTTAATAAAAAAAACTCCTTAATTTAGAGTACTGAAGGACCCTGAGTCTCAGGAGTCGCATAGGGCGGGGCTGACGAAAGCCAAAGCTGTAGGCTCCACCCTGAAACCCCGCCCCACCAGGAAAGCTGCCTGCAAAAATGCCTAAACCAAATAGATCACAAACGAAAGAAATGGAGGACAAAAAGCGACTGGATATAGAGTTCAAAACCACACTTACAAGGTTTTTCAAGAGTTTCCTAGAAAAGGCCGATAAAATAAATGAGACTTATAAGGACATGAAAAGGGATCAACAAGAAATAAAGAATACATTGTCTGAAATAAAAAATATTATACAGAGTCCTAAAAACAGAATAGAAGATCGCAAGAATCAAGTCACAGATTTGGAACATAAAGAGCCAGAAGACACTCC